TGAAGACAGTAGTTTGCAAGTAGTGGTTCTTCACAAGTGCTCTCAACTATTTTTGTTCATTGCTTTTACACAACAAACCCAAATCTAAAACCAATGCATAAACACCCGCAAACAGTGCAATGTTAATTTTCTTTATTTAATAAGAACTACCTTCAGCATAGAGTAATGGTTAGTAAACTAGTCTAGTTGACCCTCAGTACTGAGGTTGATCCTACCAAGTGCTCCACACTTGTGGCCTCGTGTCAAACCAAGCTTAGTAAATATTTTAAAACTGTCCTTGTAATGTTTATAAATGCAGAAAGTGGAATTAGCATACTGAGTTCAAATTCCGGTTTTGTTTTCATCACTTTGAACAAAGGCCATTCGCACAGGCATGAATCCATCTTCCCCTCACCAATGGGTTAAATAACAGAGCAGAATGGGTCCTCTTGCCTTAAAATAACAACTAGACAACTGTGAATTCAAAGCCAGCTTGAAAAGGTAGGCTTTGTCTGGCTGACACCTTGGCTGAAGTACATGTGATGACCCTATGACCTTTAACAGATTACAGAATTTGTGATCATGAATAGTAGAGGACTCCATGAAGTTTAGATAACAAATTTATTATATTTTTTTTAACGATGTATTATCTCAATGGTTAAAAATATCTGTTATTGCATGCATACATTCAGGTCACCAAAATAATCACAATTTATTTCTGATGGCTACAATTAACTTTCAAATTTTTGATGGTAAAATCAAATTGACATAAATTTACTAGCATCAAAGTTAATCAATGACCACAATAAAAAAACAAATAATGTCAAACAAATATTCTCTGGAAAAAGTAAAAACTATCAATGCCTCAAGGGAAATATAGAAGATTTTTTTCCATTTGAATATTTTGAAGAGTTACATTGAAAGAACAGTTACTTGTAATAGTTTTGACACACTTACTTGCACAAGGAGACTTCATCAGGTGGATGTGTTGTTTTACCTCCCGAACATCAGCTTCCTTCCGTAATTCTTTGCCCTTCTGTAATCTGTAGAGATGAAAACAATAGAAGAAAGATTATATTTTTATATATAGTATAGTATTAAGTACCAGACTTTCTGGTTTGTTTTTTTTTCTGGATGGAAAAGCCTTTTGGGCAGGCAGGTTTTTGTCAAAGTGCTTGATATCAAAAGTTAGAAAACCAGATGCTCTGAAGAGTGAACCTGTTATCTTGATGTACTCACAAAACTACATAGTAGGCATCACTGAACCAATGCCACTCAGCTAAATGATAAACTTCTACAAATGTTTTGAACAATAACAAATATTAAAAAATTAAAATTCTTAGACACACCAGGTTGTATAATAATATTTTTTTGTTTTATTATTTCAATTAGGTTCCTCAACTAGTTTCGGCAAGCATGGCCATCATCAGAAAAAGAATCCTTGCTTGTTAGTAGCAGTAAACTACAGGAGTGAATGACTGTTTCTGAAGAAAGTGAACTGTAGTTTTCATTTGTTTTTCTTATCGTTAATTTTAGCTCGTTTTTTATGGGTCAAACAGCCTTTTTCAAGTTGTTTTTAAGATAGAGGATGGGAGATTCCTGACTTTAAGAATACCCTCCTTGGTCATTTTCAGTTTTATTGTTGCTGGGAATGAGATGTGTGTGTTAAGTATGTTATCTTTTAGTTCTTTGGAAGTGTGTGTCATGTGTGTATGTGTATATATATTTGTGTGAATGTGTGAGACCTCAACATCTCTGCAAGCATGTGTGGTGAGAAATGTGGTTAGGGCTTGATTTATGGGGTTATATATTAATTCTATCCATGTTGTTAAATTTGCCCATCTGGACAAAGTGTTTTGAGGCACAAGATCCATTTGTCTTCATGTTCCTCTAGTATTTTTCTAAGGTTGTCTTTTCTGTCTATTTCTATTTTTTCAATTATAGTGAATTTTGCATGGCTTTTAAAATCGTGGTTTTCAAGGCAGAAATGTTGTTCTACAGGTAATAATCTTTTGTGGGGAGCCAACTTGATCAGATTCCAATAATTATTAATTCTGTAGTGAAAGGCCATTCAGATTTTCCCACATATTGTTTCTGGCATAGTGTGTATTCTAATAGGTAAATTATGTAAAGACTTCTACAGTTAGAGTTATGGTAGATTTTGAAAGCAGATTTAGTGACTGAGCTAGTGAACGAATTGGTATATCTAATGTGGTTACAACATTTTTATTTTTGGTCTACTATGGGTTATCTTATCATCTGAAATTTGGTTACTACCTATAATTTCTTTAAGGTTCTTAAGTCTACGATATGCTAGAAGGCTGGGTTCAAACAAAGTTTTTAGGTCTGGTTTGAGATATAGTATTTCCCAGCAACTTTTGATTATCTGAGATAATGGATAATTTTATACATTAGGGTGTCTTCTCTAGGTGTGGAAATTGCTTTATTTATTTGTTCCCTGATCAGTTGTTGTTTATAGCCACATGTAAAATGATGCTCAAGATTTTGAGTGTGTTTATTCAGTTTTTCATCCTTCTGTGTCTAAGTGCTTGTGAATAAGGAAGGTTCTCCTTGAAGTGCTTAGGGTGGAAAGATTCAAAGTTGTGGGTGTCGGTGATTTTAGTGTTTAGTGCCATTTGTAGTTTTATGTTTTTATCGATGTAGATACAGGTGTCTAAAAATGTTACCGATCTTGTTGATATTTTGTACCCAAACTCAATGGATCCGTGTACAGTGTTTAGGGTCATAGAATTCAGTGAGTTTCTCCTCACTGCCTGTGTATATAAAGAAGATATTACCGATATATCTTGCATAGAATATGTAGTCGTTACTGATGAAGGGATAAATATGGGTCTCCACAAATTTTCCCATGAAGATTGTGGTATATGATGGAACTGCAACAGTTCCTATGGTACACCCTCTTACATATAGGTAGTGTTTTCTACTGAAGTCGAAAGTATTTAACAAAAGAATATGTTCCATAAGTTTTATGATTACTTCTGTAGGGGAGGGGATCTTGTTTTGTTCTTTTAGCAAGTGCTTCTTTAACAGCAGTTAGTCCATTGATGTTTAAATAAAGTGATCTTATGTCCATGGTTACTAGAGTAGCATTTTCTGACACTGTATATGATTAATTCTGTTAGGTAGGTCTGTTTTGTCTCTGATGTAGGATTTTACTTCCTTGATATATACACACAAAAGGCCTAAATTACGCAAAAATGAAAATGACACTGGCATCTCAATTTAACAAATATATTTACCAAAATTATACAAAAATATTTTGAAATACTAAAGAGTAAATTTATTCAATAAAATCACCATTGGCTTGAACCCTGAACTCCAGATAATTTTGGAATATCCTGCAACTCTGCTGGATGGTCTCCTTGTTTAGTTCATCTGTGGTGTTACAAGGAGTTTTGCTAGTCTCTAACAACTTCACCCCACACATAATAATCAAAGGGCTTGCCACATCACCCCTTATATCTGGCCACCTCTCTGAGGAGTTAGGTGGCCAGATATAAAGGGTGATGATGTCGCAGAATTGTCTGACAGCTATGACTGGGTTCTCCTGCCCGTGTAGCATGGTGCAGAGTCCTGTATCCAGATATAGGATCTTCCAGCAGCCAGCCTCTTGACTCAGGGCAGCATTACCTACTCAAGGCACTTGATGTAGGCCTTCATGCTGAATCTGAGGCTCTGTGGGAAGATGAATGGAGGCATAATATCACCATCACTAGTGATCACCCTAAACACCTTCGTAATCACCATTAGACTCATCCAACTCTTTCCAAATACTCTGCACTGCCTTTAGATTGACACCCAAACACTCTGAAAGATTCATATTGGAGCTTCTGGCATGCAAATGCCAAGCAGTACAGCATGCCGTTTCCAAATTTCTGGCAGAGTGAACTGAGCACTCTTTTTCTCCCAGACAGTGCCCAACTGACCCTACTATACTGTGCAGTCAACAAAATCAAAAATGTAATGTATGGCAACAATTTAAACATTACACCCTGTACATCTTTTATAAGATCTTTTATGAGAAAATAGAAAAAAAATTTAAAAAATTGTGATTTTGCTTTGATCTCACTTTCTTTTCTTTTTAACAAAGTAAATAAAAAACACAACCATGGAATATTAATATATAAAAGAAATTTTTTTTTCAGATATAATTTAGAAAATTACTTACATTAAGAGATTATTCAAAACATTTCATTTATACTCACTATACAGAAATACTTATTTTCAAAGATTTAGTTCTGTCAGTAATGCATGTTTCAATTCCTGACCACTGATCTCTTTTGTTCTCATTTTCAAATATACAATGTACAAACAGAATGTCAAAAATTGCTAAATTCAGTGTAAAATCAAAGGTTCTACACCCAGCACCAGAAATATTTAGTCTGTTCAATAAAGAAAAATCCAATGAGAAGTGAAGTAATAGTAAAGGCAGTGGGCAACAATAAAAGCCAAAGTTCAAATCTTAACTTCATATTCTCAGTTTAAATGTGACAAGCAATTAAATTACATTCAATTATTGCTTCACCTCCCTAAATTGCTTGCTATCATTCAATACATAATTACAGTAAATGAACATTTTTATTTGGTCAATAAATGCTACCTGTGATAGCACAAATTACAATTTTAAACAAAAATTTCAGGTTTAAAAAAAAAAAAAAAAAAAAAAATTATGAGAATGGACAACATCTTTCACAGAAAAGGTTTTAACTTGTAACAACCTCACACAGTAGCTTGATCAATTTGTTTTCTACGGTTTATCAAACTTGTGCAGGTTATTTCAAACTAGAATATATTTTAGACAGTAAAATTTTTTTTATAGAGATAATAATGGTTTAGTGATACAAGTCTTACTAATTAATCCATAGCTGGGGGAAGAAGTGGACTCATACCTTTACCAAAGGTATTTGTGCATAAGTGAATATAAAAATGCCAATGGGAATTGGAACTCGGTTCTCCAATTAACAATTCTGGGGCATTATCCATTACACCTGCACATCCAAGCTTGCAGTACCTGGTATTCCCAAGCAGTCACCCATCTAGGTACTGACCATGCTCAACATTGCTTAACTTTACTGATTGTACAGGAACAGATGTTTCAACATGATTTGGCTGAAAGCCACCACAGGTTAGCATAAAAACATAATACTGATTTTGCAGAGTGATATCTAATTTAAAATTACTAATTTGGACCAGTTTGGTCAGGTGAAGTGTTGTATATTTCTTACAAGTTTGTTTTTCATTTTTTTTTAACTAATGTTTACTCTATACAAGTAGAGGTTTGCTAAAGGAGGCTGTTGCATGAGTGGTCAGGGTATAAGTTTATGAGTATATGTGGAAAAGATAATTCTAGACTTCCTTCATGCTAATGGAATACAAAATGAATGAAGACGGTTCACCTCATTGTACGCAGCATGGCAGGTCTTAGATTTGAAGGTTAAACTTGATATAAATAAGGAATGTAGGTTGTCAGCATATTTTCCATGGAAACAGCAAGACACTTGCAATGTTTCATGTATGAGAAAGGTTAGTTATAGAAAACAAGTTAAGACAGGATTTTAAGTGACTGAAATACAAACTTGCACAGTTTATATCCACATTTTCATTTGATAACCTTTGAAGCCTTAAGCACAAACCTTGTAACTGATAAGCAATTGTTGTTTTTATCAGTAATCTATTTCAGTAGCCATACCAAGAAACAGTTTTCTTCAGAACTTGAAAATTTAAATTAGTGATTCTCAGCATAACACCCCCTTGGAGGTGTTATGAACTTTCAAGGAGGGCAGTAAGAGTTTAGGCAAGTTATGGAGGGAGCTGTAATTTTAACAGATCAGTAAAATGACTTTAGTCAATTAAACCCCAATTAGAACAAGTCGTATTTTGTATACGTATTTATCTTTTTGTTTATATAATTTATATTTTTAGCTGTATTTTAAATATTTAGCTGCAATATTACCATGTGTGTAGCAAAAACCTGCAAACTAAAATTCAGCAGCTTTGAACCAGAGAATGCTGCTGAGTTGTTCCTGCCATGGCTTACTTCCAATGACTAATGCTGCTATAAAGCAACAAAGCAAATATGTGACATTAACATCAGTTTTTCTATTTATTTTTTTAAGTCATTTCACCCCAAGCAAGGCAGGAATGCTACTAGTATGCAGAGAGTTACAGAGTGAAAATGAAAGAAAAAAAAACTGGGTATAGAGGGATTGAAGATGATGATGATGATTGACATTGCACTTAGATTTTTGAAAATTGTATTTATCAGGCAAGCAAATAAACAGGAAGGATTTCCACAGGTGGGAAGTGCGAGAAAAGAAACTGTTAGAGTAGAAGTGGCGGTTACATTTAGCTATTTCAAAAGTAAATGGGTGGGACCTAGATGCCAATCTAGTATCACACTTAAATTCATATAGTCAGGGTGCCAGGGAGAAAAGCCTGTCAGAGCAGTTGCCATGAAAACATTTGTAGAAAAGATGGAGGGAAGCCAAATTACATCTGTGAGAAAGTGACTGAAGTCGAGATGCCAAGTCAGGATTGATTAAATTACAGATCCTTCTTTTGATTTTGTCAAGAAACTCAAAAATGAACAGAAGGGGCATGTGACCAGATATGGCAACAGTATTCAATGCATCGACAAATGCTAGATTTGTAAATGTGCAAAAGAGAGTCTGACAAGAAAAACATTCTGACACAACACAATAAAACAATATTGCAGTATACAGCTATTGATTCAATGTGGTTGTTCCATTTCAAGTCAGTTGAAAACATGTGGCCAAGAAAGCGCAGCGAGACGTTCTCCTGAAGTCCAGCATCAGCCATGCTGATGGCAAGCAAGGAAGTTTCTCTACAGTGGTTAAATGAAAGCAGCGTAGTTTTGGAGGCATTAAAATTCACAAGCCATTTCCTGTCCTAGTTAACCACTGATTGGAGGTCCTTTTCAAGAGCAGCTGCCAAGTTAACTTTGTCAGCTCTGATGGAGTTGCTATTGAGACAGGAGTAAATCATATTGTCATCAGCATAAATGCCAACTTGGGAACGGATGACATCAGGAAAATGATAAGCATTGCGGAACTGAGTATAGAGCCTTGGAGGACACTTGTGTTCATGTGAAAGGATCTGGAAGCAAGCCCATTCATTTCACCATTTGATAGGAATCATTGAATTAAATCAAATAATTGTCCTGTCATACTGTAGCCCGGAAGCTTACATAGAAGACCAACATGCCAAACCCTGTCAAATGTCTTTGTGACATCTAGAGCCACAGCTTGAGCTTCACCATTATTATCAAGAGCTTGATATACATATTCAGTGATGGCCATAAGCACATCAGCAGTAGACTGTGCAAAAAGGGAATCCATATTGTTGGTCAGAGAGCAGGTCATGAGAGGTTAACCACTTTAGCACTGATTAAAGCCTCAAATACTTTGCCAAAAAAGCAGTAGGAGATTAATAATGTGATAGAGGAGTCAGAAAGTTCTTCAGAGTTCTTAAAAAACAGAGAGTACAAAGGAGGACTTCTGACAAGTTGGAAAGCAGGAAGCAGTGAGGCAAGAGTTGAAGAGCTAGACTCTTCAACTCTTGCCTCAGAGAACTGGGGTCAGCTCAGTAGCACATCTCTTTAGAATGACAGCTGGTATCTTGCCACTTCCACTTGCCTTATGGGAGTCTAATTTAGAAGTGTCCGAGACCAGTGATGGGGTTATGCACATATTGCTCAGTATAGCCTCAGTTCTAGGTGGGGAAATCAGGTGTGGGTACTCCAGATAAGTTGAGTGTTGAGTTGGAAGAGAATTTCCAAGCAAAACATTCAACCTTGTCTGTTGTAGATGTCAAGATTTTGAACCGATTGAAAAGGGGAGAGCCTGAGGATTTGCTGTTGTTCAGCACACTCTTGCAGAGCCGCCAATTATGGCATTTTAATATAGAGGTTATTAGCCTACACAAATGTTGGAAAAGTTATGCTGAAGATGATAAGGTGAAGAATTTAAAATGATTTCTTCAAGCAGAAGACAACTTAAGTTTGATGACCCACAATAAATCATAGGGAATTGGAATTTGCATTTTTGTTCAAAGGTCATACCTGCAATTTATATGATGACTTTCTCTTCTCTGTCGAATGTCTGCTATTTTTTCCATGGCATTCACTGAAAAAAAAAAAAAAAAAAATATAAATAAATAAGAAATTAAAAAAAAAAAAAAAAAAAAAAAAAAAAGCACAGCCAAAGAAAGAATATCCCCCACCACAGCAGTTAAAAATCAAAATTAACACAAAATTTCCCATTCCCTTTCAGCAATTTTTATTGGAATTTTTTTTATTCTTCTTTCCTGTATCAAATTGCTTCAGGACATGAGAGATCGTGGCTCTCCATAACATCCTATCCTTTGACACTCTTAGCAGTGTTTGTTCTGCCAACCATTTATACAAGCTCATTAGGTCGGTTTCTTGCTCTTTCTCTGTCCATTTTGCCTTCTATATGTTCTGCGAGTGTCAATTTTCTAAGCCTTCTTTCCTCATTATGTGTCACAAAAGTTTCAATTGTCTTTCTGATTTTAAATTGCTCTTTTTGTTTCCGTTTTTCTTAACCTTCCTCATTGCTTACATTTTAAATCCATGGTATCCTCAGCATCCTTCCGTAGAACTACATCTAGGCTGCCTCAGGTTTAAGGAAATTGTCTAGCATTCACTGCCATATAGGAGAGGAGATATTACATAACAACAGAGCACTGTTTTTAATTAAATGTTTCCGTGTCTTAATACTTTGTTTAATTTTTGGAAGACATCTTTTTTTCACTTCCAATGTGATTTCAGATTTCAGTGTCACATTTTTTTTGTTTTCTGCTAAACACTTCCAAGATATCAACAACATTATTCAGATAATATGAAAGGTATGGTCTACATGAAGTAAAAAGGAAAAATTTTGGAGCAGTCGAAAAGCGTTTACAGAAGTTATGGCTGTAGGTATGTCTATAGAAAGAGATTGTACCTTGACTAATACTACTGCTTTATTGTAATACAAAGTTACGTCCCCCTCCTCCCACTAGTAGTGAATTTCCTTGGAAAAGGCAGCTGTAAAAATAGATACTTTTAGACAGATAGAATAAGACAGGGTGGAAAGGAAACAGTTTTATGCAAATAAAAATAAATAATAAGTACATGGAATTTATAATGGTGAGAGTGAAAATTAGTGATGAATCAGTAACAATGTAGAAAAGAGACTTTAACATGAATATGTAGTACCAATCCTTTTTATAGGTAAAAACATTTTATAGTGGTGCAAAAGAATGGTGGTTACAAGATATTTCTTTAAACAAACAGGTAAAGAAAAGTAGGATGCAAAAAGGAAAAAAAAAAGGCAAACTTGGACCTTCATTCCCACAGAAAAATGCTATTATTTTAACTACCTTCCAGCTTCAACAATGTTTGCTGTTTAAAAAAAAAAAAATTTGATGATGAAAGTGAATTTATACAATTTTTTGTTCTTGAGAAGTTACAACAAAAATATTAAACACTATTCATTCATTAAATTGTTTATTTACATGAATAATTTTATAGTTACATTTTAAAATCTAATACAATTAAAACTAATGCGATGCAATATCATTTACTAATTTATAAAGAAATAAATATGAAATTTATAAACATTTACTAAATTATTAAAATATGCGAACCAACGATAAGGAAATTCTTATTTAGCATTTTATAAAGTTTGAATCAATTAGCCAATGCTTTGCCAACCATTCCAATAAACAGTATAATAAATAGTTTAAAATAAACAAATATTAAATCTAAATATTGTTTATTATCTTTGTTGCCAATTCTCAAGAAAAAAGAAAATGTATAAATTCGCATTCATTACAATTGACTGCTTTTTAAAACAATAAACATTGTTGTAAAGGTAGTTAAAATAATAGTGTCATCAATGTAAAAACTGCCCTTTTGACACTTTTTTTGCAGGCACGTAGGTCCAAGTTTGCAAAAAAAAAAAATTTGTCATTATAAATAAAGCTATGGTCTCATCTATTACCAAATATTGCAGAAGGTGAAATATTCCCACATACATCAATATATTCCTATATGCATGCAACAAACAAGTTTTTCCACAGATGACGAC